GCATATTTTATGCCATGTATCCCATAAGAATAAATTGTACCCTTTTTCCTCTTTTTTGTTGCCTAAATTTATCATCCTAAGTATACAGTATACAGGTGAAACTCGAAAAATTAGAATATTGTGCAAAGTTCAGTTATTTCAGCAACTTAAAAAGTGAAACTAATATATGAGATAGACTCATTACATACAAAGCAAGATAGTTCAAGCTGTGATTTGTCAAAATTGTGATGATCATGGCGTACAGCTCATGAAAACCCCAAATCCACCATCTCAGAAAATTAGAATATTACATGCAATCCATAAAACAAGGATTGTACATAGAACAATATCGGACCTCTGAAAAGTACAAGCATGCATATGAACTCAGTACTTGGTTTGGGCCCCTTTTGCAGCAATTACTGCCTCAATGCAGCGTGGCATGGACGCTATCAGTCTGTGGCACTGCTGAGGTGTTATGGGAGACCAGGAGGCTTCAATAGCAGCCTTCAGCTCTTCTACATTGTTCGGTCTCATGTCTCTCATCTTTCTCTTGGCAATGCCCCATAGATTCTCTATGGGGTTTGGGTCAGGAGAGTTTGCTGGCCAATCAAGCACAGTAATCCCATAGTCATTGAACCAGGTTTTGGTGCTTTTGGCAGTGTGGGCAGCTGGAAAATGAAATCAGCATCCCCATAAAGCTCGTCTGCGGAAGGAAGCATGAAGTGATCCAAAATCTCCTGGTAGATGGCTGCATTGTCCCTGGTCTTAACAAAGTCCTGTTGTTCAGTGGTCCAAAGTCCTCTGCTCTGATGAGAGCAACTTTTGCCAAAAGCACCAAAACCTGGTTCAATGACCGTGGGATTACTGTGCTTGATTGGCCTCTTCATTCTTCCTCCATACTCTGGGTCCTTGGTTTCCAAATGAGATTCAAAAGTTGCTCGCATCAGAAAAGAGGACTTTGGACCACTGAGCAACAGGACTTTCACTGTGCTTCATTCGACTAACATGAAAGAAAAATGACACCCTATATTTGAAAAAAAAAAAAAGAACCATGGCTCATATTTTATTTTAGGCATCCATTCCTAACTATGATGACATTGAATTGATAAAATGACAACACAATGCAAACTTTTTTTGGGTACATGCATATGGAAAGGATGCAAAGTTGGACTTTCATTGTATGATACATGTTTTTTAACACCCCCACCTTGTCCCTGTAGATACCTATTATTTTACATTTCACTCATGAACTTTTTGTTTATTTATCAGTGGCAATAACCTCAGAAGTATTTTAAAATATTGGAATTTTAAAAGGGAATACAAACCTGTTGTCATGCCCCCCCCCCCAACTGCCTTAGTTAGTAGTTAGTAAGTTAGTTTGCTTGTTTGAAAAAAAATCTAGGGTAAATGCCCAGGTTGATTTGTAATAGAAATATCCGTTAAGCAATGCCTATCTAATTACTGCAGTCATTAAATGGGGCCAATTATTTAGGCGACTTGCTTCACAGTCCTTAAACTTTTGTAGAATATTTATTGTTGTTGTTTTTGAAATAGTCTTCATTCTTGATGAATGCCTGGACAAGTTCCTGAAGAGGGTTTTTTTGGATATGGTTTTTCAGAAGTGACTTGCTATTATCTACTCCTTAGCCTTCTTTAGAAGGTGACTGTCCCAAGATCATCTAATTGGCTTTGTGTTTAAGGTAGGATTGTAACTGTGGGTCTCCTGGGCCTTAACCATTACACCAGATTGACTCCTTATAGATCATATATAGATCCCGATAGGATGGAAATTTACTATGTCTTTTTAGATCATTGGAAGAAATAGCTTGTTTTTCACTTAAAGCCGGAAATATTGTAGTCATTTTTCAAATCAGAAAACTTTCTTACATAAATGTCTATTTTTTATGTCTATTTCTTCTATTCTCTGTGCCTTCACTATTATTCTATTATTGATATACTCAGATGGGCTGAGTCACATACACACAGATACCATTAGGCTTAATCACTCCATTCATTCATGCAGCCCTTTATGCATAGAACACTCTAATCTTTTCTTCCTCTGTCAACAGTCCTGTCAGGCACAAAAGACCAGGTCCATGGGTAAAAGTTCAAGTAAGGTGATTTATGGCTAAAAACCTAAGCACAGAAATTATCTCAAGTAAGTGTGCCTGGTTAGAGTTAGGTAAGGGTCAACAAGGGGGATTGGATTTTGTTCACTTGTGGCTACATAGGGATTCTAGGCTGATCCTTCTTTTCACTCTGACCTCCAGTTCTGCCATTCTTTTTCCTGCTAGTCCTTTCTAAAACTTCTAGCTTCCTGTATTAATTTTGGAGCTATACCAGAGGTGGTATTCAGCAGGTTCTGACCAGTTCTGGAGAACCGGTAGTGGAAATTTTGAATAGTTCAGAGAACTGGCAAATACCACCTCTGACTGACCCCGCCTCCATCTATTCTCTGCCTCCTGAGTCACAGCTGATCAGGAGGAAATGGGGATTTTTCAGTAACCTTTCCCTGGGGTGGGGAGGGAATGGAGGTTTTACAGTATCCTTCCCCTGCCACTCTCACTAAGCCATGTCACACCCACCAAGCCGACATAACCAGTAGTAAAAAAAAATATGATTCCAACCACTGAGCTATACAGCTTTCAGAATTTCTATTTTGTCATGTCTGCATTATCTTTATCTTATAGACAGAGACATTACTCAGAGTAGAGCTGTTTAAAATTTCTCGTGTTCATATTATTGGGGCTAGGATCAATTTAAGGGGTTTGAATTATATAATTCATTGGGACCCAAGAAAGTATTTCCCTCTCAACTTAAATCCATCTGTAATGTTAATCTAGAAGTGTAGGAGGAAGGAGTCCCCCTCCTAGAGTTCAAGATTGCATTGCCCCCCCCCCAATTCCTTAAAACACTCTATATCATGGAACCTACAGGGAATCCTTCAAGTGGAGTTCCTTTTAGCCTGTGTGCAAACTAATTTCATACTCTCTTGCCGTACATCCACTGCTCCTCTTCCAATGATCCCAAATGAAATATTCTTTTATTGAGGAAAAATGAGACTGATAAGGACCATGGTAGAGAATATTGTTTTCCTCTCTGGTCTGCCTCTCTTGATTGATCTTTTCAACAAAGGATGGAGAAATTCAAGAAAAAATTCTGTTCCATTAGTTCAACTAAATTGAAAGGGGAAATCAAATAGAACATTGCACAATTACCTTGCTCTTACTCTTGATGTTACTCCATCAAGATTTCTATGGTATGGCTGATTAATTCACAGCATTCTACAAGGAACACTAAGTTTCCAAATAACATGTCACTGACTTCTGAAATTATCAGGTCACTATGGAATACCCCAAAGTACAAATGAATAGAAACTGCAGAGGCTTAGCTTCTGGAAAGCCTGGATTTATAACATTCTGTGACTGAAGAGTGACATGTAATATAAATAACTGCATCAATATCTAAATGTATTGTTTAGTGTAGTGATTTGGGTTGTTGGTTTTTTTTCTTTTTATACAAAAAAGAGAAAACAATATTGATGCCTACCAAATGTAAAAGGAGTTATTTTGAAGGGGTGGTTTTTTTTGTTTGCTTTTATATATATTAAAGTATTCATACTTATTTTGATATAAAATCTGTCATTCTGTTTGTCAAGGGCAGGTATTTGGTTTTAAATATTCAGGAAGAGGAAATGAGCTGGTAATAAACTTGTGGAACCTTTACTATACCTTTCAGCCACTGTCGATTAATACATGTAAGATATAGAAACACACCAAGTATAAAAATCTTTAGAAAAGAAAAAAGTGTTTTGTTTTAAACTCAGAACCAGTCAATGCAAATGATTAACTGCATTTTAAAACCTTACATAGTAATGACTAATAGCTGAACAAAATATAAACATATAGTGACTAGTTTTACTATTTTTCCTCATACTTGGACTCTCTAATTAATATTTGGCTGTTTATTTTAATCCCCCCGGATAATTCTCTGACAGAAAACAGAATTCATGCTTCCATCAGTGATACTAAAATGTCCAGGTCCCAAAACAACAAAGCTAAACAACAGAATTTAGCTTAATGCCACCCTGCTGTATTGAGAATTGTTTCAAATATTTTGGAATCAGCAGAATCAAAGCGAAATAGTGAAAACATCATTAAAGGAATCAATACTTGCACAGTCCCTGTTATTCAATATACAACACAAATAGTTGACTGGACATTTTAGTATC